CAAGAAGTCTGTTGGGGATTCATTCTTGACTTGCTTCACCTCATACATTTTTGACTAATTAACTGTTTTTGGAATACCATGTCTTAACCCATACACTACCCAATCCTGATAGCGTTTCAATGCTTCCTTCTTTTCTGGTAAATCGGGATCACATTTTGGGTCCTCTGGGGGGAATATATCCTTAAGTTCCCCTGTGAGTTGTCCAGATGCTAGCAGTAGCTCAATCCCAGTTCAGGCAGCTCGCTTAACCATTTCCTTCTCCATATTATCAAGTAATGTATCCATTATAACTTCCAGGTCATACCAGTCCGGATTTTGTGTTCTTATTGCTCTTTCTACATAATTACCCACCTTTTCTGGGTTATCTCTATATGTCCACACTGAGGCCTTCCACTGTTGTAACTCAACCAGAGAAAAAGGAACTTTTATCAAAACTGGTCCTTGGTTGCCCATTGCCTGTCTCAGGGGAGCCTCTATAACAGTTATTCCTTTCCTTGTTCTCGTTCTCCTAGCCACCGGGCTTGGATCTGACAGAGCCTCACCCTTCTCCTCCTTCCCTTCGCAGTTACTGTGGAAACCTTTGCCTTTGTTTTTGGTTTTACTATGGGAGTTCTTTCCTCCTCTGAGGTGCTGTCTGATTTGTCATCTGAGGCTTCTGTACCTGTGTCAGTGAGATCACTTTCTCTAGTTTTGAATTTCATGCTCGAGGGGTCAAAGGGGGGAAGGCTCTGCCTTTGCCTCCTCTCAGAGGCCGAGAATGATCTGCTCTTCCTTGGCGTGCCCCTGATGATGTGGGGCAAAAGCTGCAAACGCCCCAGATGCTGCCCCCTCTCTTCCAGAATGGGAAACCCTGCATACGGGGCGGGCGGGCGGAGGGGAGGGGGGGGACAGTTGAGATTACCCCACTCCCAACGTACTCAGTGGGGGGGGGGGATAAGGACCGTAAGGGACTGGGACTTAGAATGGGGAAGAGGCGGCTCCGGCTCCACCCATTATGGGTGGAGCCAGGAGCATAGGTGTTTATCAGGGCGGCGACCGCTCCTGTAGGCGCTACCTCCGCTCCTCCTCCAGCGGTAGCTATTTTGCCCGTCTCTCCCAAGATATCTTGAGCATTTGAATCGGCGCCGCTTGTAGCCGTGGAGTATTCTGCGCCTGCCCCTGCCGCGGTCCCTGCTCCGTTCGCCGGACTCGCGGCGGCTCCTGCCGTCGTTGCTCCAGCACTACTTCCCCCAGCACCTGCGGTAGTGGCTCCCACTGCTGTGTCCACAGGGCGTCCGATCCCCGCTTTTCCTGTGATGACAGCCGCCGCCCCCGTGGCAATAGCTCCGGCAGCAGCCGCGGCAGGGGCTGCTCCCGCGGCTGTTGCCGGCCCCGCCGGTCCGGCAGGACCCGCGCCCGCTGCGGCTCCCGCCGGTTCCGCGCTGGCGGCCGCGCCGGCAGCTGCTGCGCCGGCCTGTCTCGCAACTCCCGCCGGTCCTGCAGGACCTGCGCACGCAGCGCCGGTGGTGGCGCCTGGAGCCCCTGCGGTGGCAGCGGCTCCCGCCGCTTCGGCGGGACCTATGCCCGCGGCAGCGTCTACAGCCACGCCGGCGGATCCGGTGACCGCCTGGCCTACGGTGCCTGGGCTTCCCCCTCGCAAATCAGAACCAGTTAAAATATCTAAATCCTCCTTTGTCGACCTTTTAACAAATTTGATTGATGGGGTCACATTTACTATGGTGTTTCCTTTCCTCTCTCTAAAGCCATTTCTGAGAGCTGTGCCTCTGCCACGGCTTTCCCTAATTTATATTCCCTGTTTCATTCTGGATGGTTTAATAAAGCCAAAAACAATTCAGTATACACTACTTCTCTCCACTGCTCCTCCTCATGGAGGGTCAATGTAAACTGTAACACTGTATTCATTTGAAAAGAGCCAAACTTTGGCCAAGCCTCCCCTTCCAACAACCTGTGCAAAGGCCACATATTTATAGAGAGCCTGCATAACTCCTGCCTCTTTAAAGATGTTTCAGGGCCAGTCAAATGCCTCCAGTGCTGCAAAACCAAGGCTAAAGGAGGTCCTTTTGGAATCTCTTTGTCTTAGGACTCCACACAACCTATGCTGACAATTACCAGGCAGGATAAAAAACTTCCCAGCACCAGATTTGAACCTGTGACCTCAGGATTACTTCACATATTCTGTCTCTGTGCACTACCACTGATTTCAGACCAGAGCAGGCTATTTTAATGCAAAAAGGCATCCCTTTCCTTCTGTCTGAACCAAGCCGATACAAAACCCCCTGAGTAACTACAGTGGTACCATCCATAGTCCCTGCTCTGCCTTTACCAAAGCTGCAAGGGGGGCTGGTCCTCCACCCACTTCCCCTTAACTGTCCTGGGCTTTTGCCCACACACTGGAAAAATACCAACTTTTGCAACAACACGGGTCCAAAGTCTCACTTCCTAGCCTACCGTATTCCTCAATTTCTGGGAAAGACCTCTTTGCAACTGCTAGCAAAGTTACCCAAAGGAGCTGCTCTTTTATCTCACCTGTGTGTTGTTCTGAGGAGCTGGGGCTTTTAAAGATTGTTGTGGGAATTCTCCAAAATATACCAGCAGAAGAAGAATTTCCTTCAGGATAGTATTTCCTGATCTGTAGGAGTCACAGGTCCCACTTTTCCACCTTTCGGAGTGCCAAACTGTTGCCTAAAAAGACTGCGGAGAAAAAGACTCCAGGCCAATGTAGTGTATGAGATAAGATAAAGAGAGCAGGTCCTTTAATGAGTCCATAGGCCTAGATGAATACACACCATGCACACCTCAGACAGTGGTTCCGTGATTTTATAATAAGGTCCATTCAATCCCAGTTCTGTCCACCCCCTGGTTCTGCCCTGTTCTCCCCCCCGACACGCCCCTTCGGAAATTGGGTCTGAGGGTGTTTGGGACCCCTTCTTCCTCATCTTCTTCTTATTATTAGCACGTATAGTTCTTGGAGGTCCTCCAAAGTCCTGGGCTTGAGGGTCACTGTGTCTGTGTGATATCTTCTGGTCCAGGCCTAGGGTGCTTTTCTACAATTCTACCTTGAAGACTGGAGCCCCTGGTGGTCTAGTGATAAGGGCACGGCGCTGTCACCGCCAAGACCCAGGTTCGATTCCCGGTCAGGGCCACTCCCGGGCTGATGGAGCTCGTTAACCCTTAAAAAAAGGCAATCCATCTACGTCCTAAGGACCTCGCTGCCACCGTCCAAGCTCGCTTGGCCCCGGCAGATGAACCTTAGGATTAAAGGGTGGACTCAGTTCCGCGCACACTGTGTCTCACCTAAAAAATCCAATGCGCAGGCTGGAAGGTGTAAAGACCTTCCCCGGATCTTTGCTCGCGAAGACTGGCCATTATTATTATTATTATTATTATTATTTATTATTATTATTATTACCTTGAAGACTAAACACGCTAACGGTATTTAGAGGGATTGATAAAGGGCAAGGGATATAATGCAGCTACATTAAAATCTACATTTACTACAGAACTATTTCTAAAATCTATAAAAGTTAAAAAATCCAAAAAAAACTCTAAGGCATCAGCATTTCAGACAAACCTGAGAATGATCAAGACTTCAAGTGAGAACATCTTTCTTTAGGACATTCTCCACCTGACCTTTGTTATTGACATGTTAAAAATGTTAAACAAAATGATAGAATTGCTTCATTTGACTTGCCATGTAATAGTGATAGTAATACTTGTCACATCTCATAACCACATTCTGTAGTTGAGATGTCCACTCATCTAATTTTTAATATTTTTATTTAAAATAATATTTTAATATTTTTATTTTAAATCATAATTTCATTCTCCCAGAAAAGTTGTTGGCCTTTTAAATGCAGTGCTGTGCAAGTGGAAGAACTTTTATATTTACATTTTTTAGAAATTGGTGGGTATTTAAAACCTGTAGTATAAGCGAAGTTTTAGAATTCTTTTAAATATATATGCATAGGATGGATTTCTGGTTTTTGAAGTTACTGAATTCTATGTAAAAGCTCTGTTTGTAAATCAATACATTAATAGTTACAGAGCATGAAAATTAGTGCTTCTTTAGGAAGAGCGAAATATACTTTTGTTTTATTCTTATATACAACATTCTGGTTTTGGAACTCAAAATCAGTGGTTTAAAATTAATTTTAGCAATAGTCCCTCTTTTGAAAAGTGTCATTTCTGTTCAACTAGCACTGGTTACAATAGAAAGTATTTTTAATGGCCCTCAGTCAATCATCATGAGTATGCTAAGAGTCCTTGTGCTATGATGCCGTAACTTAGTTTTAAAATACTTTATATTTGAAAGTTTATCTCTTATTTTGCTTATATTTCTTTTGGGATGTTAATGGTTTTGAAGGCCTAGAATAGATTTGTGTGTAAATTGTAACTCTTGGTGCAAATGAACTTTGAACATCCTTACTTCTTGCCAAAATCAGGGCTTCTTTTCTGGTTTTGGCTGAGGTAATTTTCTTCACAATATGGGACTGTGTTTTGGATTTATGCTGGAGACAGTGATGATAATAGAGATGTTTTTATTATTGATGAGCAGAGCTTACACAGAGCCAAGGCTTTTTCTGCTTCTCGCCCCACCCCACCCATGAGTAGACTGGGGATGCACAACTGACCAAAGGCTAAAATGCTGATTAAAATTAGCTTCATGTGCTTATTAGGATTGCTCTAAACTGTAAATTTAAATTTTCTTATACTATAATCCTTTCTATGTAGAACATACACATCTCACTTTCAGGATGTTTCAAAAGTAATACCAAATTACTCATGCCCTTGGTTGAAGAACTAAACATGAGTCTGCTCACAAGTGAACTCTGAAACTAAAAACTTTACTATGTAAACTGATGGGAGTATTTGGAAGGAGAGATAAGGAAATAAAGATTAATATCTATCATTGTAAGCTTTGATCTTGTTGCATTGTTCTGGAAATTCACTTTATCCTATGAGCTGATTGAAGTTATAAATGTAATTATTTTCTGTTGCAGATGAGCCAACACGTTCCTTGAGTGGTCTCATCTTGAAGAATAATGTTAAAGCACATTTTCACAACTTTCCAAATGGGGTAGCCGACTTCATTAAAAGTGAATGTTTGAACAACATTGGTGATTCCTCCCCCTTAATTAGAGCTACTGTAGGTAAGTTTACTCTTATTACTGTCTTTTGCCCACTGAAAATGTTACTGATACAAGTGAGAGCTGCATTAGTGAGAGTTATTAAACTCCTAAAACTGTTTACTTCTGATTATTGTCACAACCGCACCATGTTTTGATTCTGACATTATTCTTCTGTGTGAAGATACAAATATATTTTTCCTTCCTATTCTCTTAAAACTGATTTATCAATTCAACTCATATCTCTTTAAATGTGACTGAACATAAGTTTACTGAATCTAATAAAATTCAGCTTACTGCCAATTTTTATGCCTAAAACCAGGAATAATGTAAAGTTCTGACTTCAGAACTATTTCAGCACTCCACTTACATCAGTGAAACACTTCTGTTAGCTGATTTCCTCTTTGCTCTTCCATATGCACACCTCTTCAGGGAATCATTACACCAGATGTTACATACATTAACATAATGAGTTTATGTTTTTTAAATAGCTTCTTTCAGAAAATAGTAGACAAAGTGTGGTGATCAGAACATCAGCTACAAGTGTTTTTGTTGAATGTTTTTCTGATTTCCTAAATACTGTATTTTAGTACACTTCTTCCATAACATGGATATTTGTGTTATTTTTACTTATTTCCAGATGTTGCAACCCACCCCAGAAGGGGAGGGTAACCCAAGTTCTTATTAATAAATCCCTTGGGGTGGATTGGAGTGAAGCTACACTGAATAATTGGTGTTTGTAAACATGTAGGGTTTATTTTGGAACAATTTTGTTTCAAGTGTGTGTTGCTGTTTTGAGTGTTATCATTCTATAGCAATATAGCACTATTAAAGCATCATGGCAATATTGAAGCATCTATAGTAATATAACACTATTAAAAGCATAGCAATATAGCACTATAAAGCATGGCAATATTAAAACATAAAAATAACACTTAAGGAAATGTATAAGGGAAAGAAAGGATAAAGGTGGAAAGATGTGTATATATATTGTTACCGCCCACTGGATCCAGTGATGAAACTTATTATTTGCAGCTTCCATGTCAGTTTGTTGAAGTGGTGGTCTTGATCCATTGAGTCTGGGGAAAGCCCCCCCTCCCCCCCCGAAAAAACCTCAAAGATGTTATGAGTTATTATACACTTCTAGCTCAGGTGGGAACTCCTTGTACTCCAGGGTGGGGAGTTTTACAATGGATAGTATCATGGTACATGCCAAGAGTCTCTGACATCTCCTGAGACACCTGCTGCTGTCTATTGTGTCAGCATCAATCATGGTCCCTCATGGTCCAACATTTGAGATGCATAACTCAGGCTAGATGTGCAGAGTTATCATGTAAAGGGAGAACATTGTCATGATAAGAAGGATTTATCCCACTTTGCAGGATTTGCCTCTTCTTAGTCTCTTCCCTTATTTTGAAATCCAGTTTGTAGCTTCAGGTATGCATAATCTCCTGCACCTTTGTTGGCGGGGAGGCTCTGAGACATACATACACGACCTATGAGATCTAAAATATGTCCGATTTATTAGGATAGCTCAGGGTTTTTATAGCATCTGTATACAAGGTCTCGTGACAAGAAGCACATAATTGGTTACAGGTCACTGTCTAGATGTAAACATGCATTACAAATACCTTTATAATTGGTTATTAACAGGTAACAAGGCCATTATTTACTTTATGGAACTCCACCTTCTTCTTGGCACCGATTTCCTTTTGTTCTTGAAAAGACACCCATGGCCATCTTGACACCTATAACTTATAGTGCTTATAAAACTATATGAAAGTTTATAAAAATCTATAAAAGTACCTCACACAATATAAATTGCTCACACATTCATCATATTTCTCCCACACACCTTGGATAGTTGGACAATGGCACCCACTTACCTGATCTGAAGGCATATTCAGGGAGGGGTAGGCTTTGTTGGGTGAGCGGCTGGTTTTTTTCAGTTTGCAAAAGTCTTTTGGTGATCTTAAAATATGTAAGTCATTAACTGTTTCAGTCTCTGATACTAGGTAATGTTGCTTTTCTGTCTGTTCTTTGAGAATATGATTTCCCCCAATTACTACAATCATAGTAATCTTCCTTGTCCACTCCAAAACCTAGAAAGAAGTAAAATAAATGTATATTTAGTAGAGTAGAAAAAAACAGGGGTTGGGCACAAGTTCAGAAAGGCATTCAACTTGTATCAACTGATTTCTGTTATAAAATAATGTCATAGTTTCACCCCTAAGTAACTAAGTACCACGCAGACACTTGTTCATCCCCCTATCCGCCCCCCTCAGTGGGGAGGAGAATCAGGTTGAGACTGATACTGAAAAGCAGCAGAAACAAACTCTTTAACACCAAGTTGTAGGTGTTAAAAAAGGCATTCTTTACTCATAAGTGAAGCTATAGAATACCTATAGAAGTTATAGCTATATAAAGCTATAGAATAGCTCCTCTAATGCAATGTGCCAAATGACAGATAAACAGGGCTTGTTATTACACATACTGTACATATTCATTAGATATTCATGCTTACCTAATACATATTCATTAATTGACTTTGCAAGGTCACACCCCTATTGGAAGTCCTTATTTGGTCCTTCTGGGTCTTCTTCTTGACCTCTGTTCTTGAGCAGCCACAGCATCATTGTGTTTCACCACAAAAGCTATAATGTTTTTTATCTTATCTGAGTACTCAGCTTACATCTTGTTTGTTTAAATTACATCCCTTATCTAATTCTCTAGGACTTCTATTGTTCCTTATTTGGGCATTCTGGGATGCTCTGAGTAATTTTTCTGTTTCTCCTATCAAATCCCCCCTTTTCTTGAAACTAAATTCCTTAAAGGAATTATTGTCCTGATATCTATATTTTATTTTATAACATAAGGCATTGCAACAGCTACAACACTGAATCATGATGCAAGCTAAAATACAAATGGTGATTATTATGATTAGAACTCTAAAGAGCTTCTTTAACCACCTAAAATCAGATAACCAGGAGGTCAGGGTATTCCAGATTTCTTGAAAACCTAAAGAAGTGTCATCTTGAGCTACTCAATGTAAAATTTGGTTTTCCAGATTTCCTGGACATCTGTAGATACTCTACCACTCTGATCAATGTATACACAACAGTTACTGTTAATGACAGTGCATAATACTTCTCCTTGCGATGCTAAAAAAAGATCTAGTGCTTTTCGGTTTTGTAAAACAACTTGTGGCAAGCTATTAACTTCTTCCTGTAACACAATAATGGCATCCATTGTACTATTTTCTATATATTCTATGGTAGCAGAAATGTTTGCTATTGTTTTTTCTATTTCACTCACTCACTCCTAGCCAAGGTAAAAACCATCTTACGAAACTATGAAATTTAGTTGGTTGCTCCACTATAGCATTTAAGGTTGGGTTTGTATACCCCAAATAGCTCCTTATCCATAGTCCTGAGGGCACTTTATCAATTACTGTTATGTTGGAGACTTAGACTCCTACAGTACAAATGCCTTTCCAGCCTAGGGGTAACACTTTAGGGCTTTATTTTCACTTACAGGCCAAGGATGATTCATTTCCCCAATAAGTGTTTGAGTACATTGTGTGTGATTTCCAACAAATGTGCCACTTTCATTAATACAATCTAATTTTCCTGTTCCTTTAGGGGGGATTACATCTTTGTACATGTGTATGATTATAAGAGATGTTAGTGGGTACTTGCACACTAACTGGTATGTCTACTTTTTGGTAAAAAAAGTGTTTCCTCAGTGACTAGTATTAATTTCTCCTGGAATTGAAAATGCATAAATGACTAATGGCTTCATTGTGTTTTCAGGTAAATGAGTGCACACCCAACAATCACTTTTATGCAACACTTGGGTCACATTTTTTAATAAAACTAGATGTAAATTTTACTCTCAAGTCAAGACTGAATTAACTATTGTCGGGATAGCAAAACAAGACTTAAACATTTTGTTTCTTCTCAGACAACTGATCAATTACCCAAGGGGCTTCAACCTTTTTAATTCTGGAATAATGTATCCATGATTTTATTCCATCTAGTCTTAATGCAATAAAAGTTGTCAATAGTACTCGGAAAGGTCCTTTCCACTTCGGTTGGAGCGAAGCAGTTTCCCAGTCTTTTAACTAGACCCAGTCTCCTGGTTGAAACTCGTGCACTGGTGTGTCCAATCACGTTGGCCTTGAGATTACCACTGCTTGCTGAAAATCCTGTAGGGTTTTACTAAGAGAAATGAGGTAATTATTCAGATCAAATTTTCCCTTTACATTTATGTTTCCAGGAATGTGTGGTACTTGGTAGTGTCAGCCATATAGCAGCTTGTAGGGGCTTATTTTGCTGTAGCCCCGTGGTTGAATTCTAATTTCAAGTAGAGCAATAGGCAAAGCTTGGACCCATGTCAGGGAAGTTTCTTTTACCTATTTGCAATTTAATTGTATAATTCATTTGCTTTATTTTGCCACTAACCTGGGGCCTATAAGGGGTATGAAGATCCCAAGCTATTCCCAAGGTTTTCCTGACTTGTTGTGCCACTTCTGCGATAAAGTGGGAACCTCTCTCTGATGATATTCCCAAAGGTACCCCAAATCTAGGTATTATTTAAATTAACAGTATTTTAGTTGCTTCCCTAGCCTGGTTGGTGTGACAAGGAAAGGCTTCTGGCCACCCAGAGAAGGTATCTACCAAGACTAGGAGATGTTTATACCCTCCTTTTCTGGGCAATTAGGTGAAATCAATCTGCCAATATTTACCTGGAACATTTCCAGATTTTATAGCTCCTATCACTACTTTATTGGCAGTGCTTGGATTATTTCTCTTACACATACCACATTGCTGGCTAACTACTTGTACAATTTGTGTCATTTTTGGACCTATAACCAGCTTATGTAAATGTTTCAATAATTTTTCTCCACTCCAACAAGTAGCGTCATGTTCCCGGTCCACTAGTTCATGCAAGACTGGTTTGGGGACTATTATTTGCCCGGTTGGAGTAACTGCCCAGCCTTGTGAATCAAATTTTACTTCTAAGGTTTCAATTAGTTGACAATCCTTAGCACTATACTCGTGTTTTTCTTCTGGGAGAGGTATTAAAGCCAAAACTTTATTCTCTAACGTGCCTTTTTCTGCAGCCTCTTTGGCAGCCTTATCAGCTAAAAGATTCCCCAAATTTGGTTTGGTCTTACCCCCTTGGTGTGCTCTGCAATGCATGGCAGCAACTTCTGCTGGTCTCTGGATACTTTCAAGTAAGTCCAAGATTTGTTTGCCATTTTTGATCGGCGTTCCTTGTGCTGTCAGGAGTCTTCTCTCTTTCCATATGGCTCCATGTGCATGTACCACTCCAAAGGCGTATCTCGAATTAGTACAAATATTAACTCGTTTTCCATTACTCAATTCCAAAACTCGAGTGAGCACAATTAGTTATGCTTTCTTGGTCGAAACATTGGAGGGGGGTGCCCTGATTTGATTATCTCATGGTGTGTAGTTACTGCGTATCCAGATAATCGTTTTCCATTCTGAACAAAGCTGCTCCCATCGGTGAACAATTCCCAATTGGGATTTTCCAAGGGGCTGTCTCCTAAGTCAGGTCTACTAGAATACACTTCTTCTATTGTCTGTAAGCAATCATGCTCTGGGGTTCCTTCTACTTGTTGGACAGATAAGAACGTGGCAGGGTTAACGATAAAAGTTGCTTTGAGTGTTATATCATCTTGCTTCAGCAAGACTACCTGGTATTTTAACCTCCGACTAGGAGATAGCCAGTGACCCCCTCTCTGCTCGCGTACCGACTGCACCACATGTGGTACATAAACAACAATACTTTGTCCTGAAGTCAGTTTTTGAGCTTCCTGGATCAAGAGAACAGTAGCTGCCACTGCTCTCAAACAACTAAACCAACCTTGGCTGACATTATCTAGCTGTTCTGAAAAGTAGGCCATGGCCCTCCTTTGATCACTCAGAAACTGTAATAATACTCCCAGTGCTACATTTTGTCTTTCATAGGTGAATAGTTCAAATGGGTATGTTCGCTCTGGAAGTCCCAAAGCAGGGGCCTGCATAAGGGCTCGGTTGAGCTGAAAAAAGGCAACTCGTGAGTTATCAGTCCAGACTATAAATTCCTTCTGAGCTGTCTTCAAGAGCTCGTACAGTGGCTTCACTAGCAACCCGTAATTGCTGATCCCCAGTTGACACCATCCAAACATCCCGAGAAATGCACGCAATTCTCTTACCGTTTGTGGCTGTGGGAGTTGACAGATTGCTTCTTTCCATTCCTGTCCCAACCTCCGCTGTCCTTGAAGAATTTTGAAACCCAGGTAGGTTACTGTGGTCTGGACTACTTGTGCTTTGTTTTTGGATACCCTATATCCACTCAGTCCAAGGAAATTCAATAGTGCCACAGTCTGATCCCAACATTGCTGTTTAGCTTCAGTGGCTATCAAAATGTCATCTACATACTGTAATAAGGCTCCAGTAAGGTTTTGATTTCTCCAGTCCTCTAGTTCTTTTGCCAATTGATTTCCAAATATTGTGGGAGGATCATCCAAGTCAGCTGAGTTTTCCTCCCTGTGTTTGGATTTTCCCATTTGAAAGCAAAAAACTCTTAACTTTCATAACTCAAAGGGATACAGAAAAAGGCATCTTTCAAATCTCATACTGTAAACCACTCTAAACTTTCATTTAGGGTAGTTAGCAAGGTATAAGGATTCACTACTACTGGATGTATACTTTCTACTATTTTATTTAAAACTCTAAGGTTCTATACCAACCAGTAACCCCTTCCATTTGCCTTCTTGACAAAATGGGAGTATTAGATTTAAAATCACATTCTTTTAACAAACCAAATTTCATAAATTTTTCTACAAAGGGTAGAAAGTCCCTTATGGCTTTCTATTTTCAAAGGGTATTGGTTTTGCCTTACTGATCGCACTCCAGGTTTCAATTTAATTCTCATGGTTTCTGCTCTTTTGGATTGCCTGGGCACCTCTCCAACCCATATTATCAGAAACACTGCATCCTCAAGTGATTTTTGCAGATGGATCACTTCTGCTTTTGGAGACTGCAATGCAAACCCAGAAACTTTCACATAATTAGACTCCGGAATAATAACCTATATTTTTCTATTTTTAAATTTGATCTCCGCATTTAATTTTTCCAATTGACCTCTCCCAAGGAGAGGCTTTGGTGAATTAGGTGAATACAGAAACTGGTGAGTCATCCACTGTTTTCCTAATTTAAAATCAATGGGCTTAAAAAATGGCCAAGTTTTGTGATTCCCTGTCGCACCAACAATTGTTACAGAATTGTTACTTAAGTTTCCTTTTACTGTATTTAACACAGAGTAACTAGCTCCCATATCTACTAAAAATTCTACTTCTTCATTCCCCAGCTTAGCTGTAACCAGAGGTTCTGCTGGGGAAGAACCCTCCAGTCCCCCATAGTCATTATCGGTGATGGCCATGAGAGGGTTCAGAGGGTTCTTAAGTTTCATTTGTGGACAATCCCATTTCCAGTGTCCCTCTTTCTTACAGTATGTACATTGACCGACACCAAGTCTCCCTGGGGGGGTTCAAGGTAGGCTGTCCACGTCCTCATCCTCCTCCTCTCCCTGGGGGCACTATTCCCTTAGAGATTCCTTCCATAACTGCAATTGCTTTCTGCTTAGTTGCTTCCTGCTGATTTTCCCTGTTCCAATAAACAGCCCAGGCAATATCCAACAACGCACCTAAATGATACTGATCTTGTCCCTTAGCTTTTTGTAATTTCCTCCTAATGTCATCTGTGGAGTGCCCCACAAATATAGGGACTAGTTGAGTCCTTCCCTCCTCTGTTTCAGGATTGATATTAGTATATTTTTGTGCTGTTTATTTCCGATTATATAAAAAATCAGTAGGTGATCCCCTGAGATCCTGCTTAATTTCAAATAATTTTGACACATTCATTGCCTTTGACATGGCATGTTTATTCCATGTAATATCCATTGCTGGTATCTATTTAACCTTTCTCTACAAATAGGAATGTTAGGATCCTATTCAGGATCTGCAGTGGGAAAGTTAATGTCCACTGTACCCTGTACATTACCCTTCAAAATCTGCAAATCTCCTACTAGTTTTAACAACCATTTCTTTCTCTGTACTATCAAACATTTCTAACATCGTATCAATATCCTTCCAGTCTGGATTCTGAGTTTTAATCATAATTTCAAAAGAATTTTCTATTTTGACTGGGTTATGTCTGTGCCTGCCATGGATTTCCAATTCTGTTATTGAAAATGACACTTTTACCGTAATTGGACCATCTGTACCAACTGCCTGATGTAGGGGGGCCACTACCACCCCTCCTTGTTAAGCTCTAGTTCTTCCTGCAACTGGACTGAAACTCTCTTCTCTTTGACACATTCTTTCTATCATTCTCTCCATCTTTTCTTCTAGATGTGCTAAATCTGCCTCTTCTCTTGAAAGATCAGTTTCTACAGCTTATCTGTTTCCCCACCCATCCTGCGAGTGGGGCTAACCATGAGATTTAAGTCATCCTCCTTATCAGGGAGATGTTTAGAAAAAATTTTTCCTATGCTACACATTGAACAACAGTGCTTTAACCCTTTCCCTTGATTCTCCTTTTCAAGGGCTAACACTAAAGGATCTGAGGAGGCTGGATTCACACCACAATCTTTCTGCCACTCTGGATGGTTCCACAAAATGAAAAACTTATCAGCACACATAACCTCATCCCACTTCTGTTCCCATCTTAAAAACATTAACTGCAACAATGTATTGTATTTTAATGTTCCACTTTTCTCCAGAGTCTTGCTTATATAATGGCTACCTTTGATTACAATACTTAATTCAATTCTCCCTGGTAGCTGCTCCCCAGGGGGGTCCGCCAATCTTCCTCCAATGTCACAAAATGCAACCAAGTGGGGACTTTTTCAAAGTGCTCCCTTTAGATTGTCCACTACCCATCTCTGAAACGTAGAACCAAAATGTTACAATACAGAAACAAATACAAATACAAAACAATTATTGATCAATAAAAGAAAGCCAGATACCAAAATCTGGAATACCAAATAACCCACCCAATGCGCTGGAAGATCCACATGTCTTATATGGGCAGAATTTCCAAAAAGAATGCTTTATTATCGAATGGGATGTTACCCGCATCCCAGACTGGTCTGGGGATCTGTGGTCTTCTCCAGAAAAGTCCTGGTGCTGGAGTGAAGATCCAGAGATCCCTCGGATCCAGGGCAGATCAGGCAGAGGGTCCCATCTGGGTTGCCAAAAATAATACCCAAAAGCAGCAAAACGAAACTCCTTAACAGTAATTTGTAGTTATTAAAAAACAGGGATTCTTTATTCAGTGCGCTGGACACTTGTAGGATAGCTCCTCTAATTGAATGTACCACATGAGAGATAGACAGGGCTTTTTATTACACATACTGTTTACATATTCATTAGATATTCTCACTTTATACATATTCATTGAAACAAAATATTGATGACAGCTACAGGTTTGAAGCCTGCACCCCAGACCACTTAGGGTCATCCAGGCCCTCAAGGTTGCTTTGGCTACAATGATATCTTGTTGCTTCAGTCCAGGTGCATATGTCCTAAATAAGATGTGCTTGCAAGAGTCCTTTTCCTTGAGAAGAACATTAAACAAACCTAAAGAATTTAGAAAATTTGATATGAAGCATAAGAATAGGTTTGGTAACTGTCAACTACTATTCTAAAGCATGAGAAACTTTACAGCTATACTAAAATCCATATTTACTAAAGATCCTAAAAATTCTAAGGCATTAATATAATATTAATAATAAATATATACTAATAATGCTAATTATAATTGTCATGAGAGGGAGAGAGAGTAACAGAAGCTAAGAGAAACAAGCAATGCACAATACAGTTACTCACCACCTGCTGACTGATGCCCAGAACATCCCTGAGCAGCAATTGGCCCCTCATGGCCACCTCCACCCAGTTCATATACTGAGCATGACATTCTATAGTGTGGAATATCCCTTTGGCCAGTTCGGGTGAGCTGTCCCAGCTGTGCTCCCTCCCAGCTTCTTGTGCAGCTCCTCACTGGCAGAACATGAGACACTGAAAAGCCCTTGACTCAGGGTAAGCAACAACCAAAGCATCAGTGTGCTACCAGCATTATTCTCATACTGAATACAAAACTCAGCACTGTGCCAGCTACTGAGAAGAAAATGAACTTTTTCCCAGATGATACTGATGCCCCAAAAGGC